AAACAGACGACACGCCTCGTCGCAATGAGCACTGTCTTGCGGCAGGGGAGCCGGGAAGAGACCACCACTGCGCATGATATAGTTGCGGTCGCTGGAAAGCTGGCCGTTGACATTCGGCATATCGCGGTCGTCATCGTCGAACAGCCAAATGCCGAGTGACTTCTTCTGCAGTTCGACAGCGATCAGAGCGTAAAACTCCAAAGTCGGCCCCAAGCCGGTGCCCTCTTCGGCCTCGAACTCCACCTCGAGTATTGCCTTGTTTCGAGCGTGGAATCGCATAATGCGCATCGCCTCGTTCAGGATCGATGGTTTGCGCATGATCTTGATTTTTTCGTGCTTGATGCGACCGACCTGGCTTTCATGCCGGTGCCCTACAGTAATTGGACGTGAGATCAGCTTACCGCGCTGCAATTCCATCTGCTGTTCGAGCTGCTTCTGCAACCACACGGTGGACCGCGACGTACCGAACGCCGTAGCATAAAAATACATGTTCCGGACGTCGTAAGTAAACAGGAATGGATAGTTCAGCATTAGCCAGTCGCACCAATCAGGCAATGACAGCGTGCAAACGACTAAAGAGTCGCCCAACTGCTGCACTATCTTCTGTGTTAACTTTTTGGACAAGAACTCTCTGCTTAAATCGTCAACCAAGGACCAGCCGGTCATTTTAAGGCCGTTGTACAGGGACAACAACATTCGAAGGATTTCCAGCACCAACACGAGCGTTGCACGTTCGTCCTTGGATATGCCGAAAGAAAGGTCGTCTCCGTCACCGATACCTCCGTTTGTAGTCGTCACGGCAGCCGCGATGGCCTGGTTGCTTGCCGCCGGCTCTTGCTCATAACAGAGTGTATAAACCGGGTCCCAGATGCGCACAGACGAATCGATCTTGCCGTTAGCTTTGATCCGCTGGCGTTGCACCAATTTTTGAACATAGTAAAAAAATGAGCGTGCGTCACCCACTAAAGGCACTGAGATATCGGTGAAGATTGTACCAGATGTGCCTGTAGATTTCTGGCACGAGAGGTACAACCTGAGGCGACCCTTTGCATGTGCCTCATCCTGCTCCTCCACACTGTCTTCAGTATCACCGCCAGTCATGGAAGTATCTGCGCGGTCGTCGCCGTTTTCGTCCGGGAGAGTAACGTCTTGCATTTGGTTGATGTTTGCTCGACCGGGTCTCGGATCAAAAGCGGGCAGCAAAGACGAATAACTACGACGAATAATCGAATCGCTGTTGCAATTCGCTTCATAGCACATCTCGGCCGCGTAGCCGAGACTCATCGGCGTGAAGTATGTTAAATCAAGAACGCCACCGCCGAGCCCAGCACTACTCCCGGCACCACCGTCGTCCATTGCTACGTTATCCTCTTCTTCTACATCCATGTCGGTGTCGTCTTCGAGGTCATCTGCCATTGTCGCATTCTCATCGTCTTCCATCTCTGCCAACAGCTGAGTGGCCATCGCGTAATCGGTAGCACCGTCCAAATAGAAATCGGATTCAGAATCGGAAGAATTAGACAAGAAGTGCATCACGGCAGCGACCGCCTCCCGTAAATTGCCGGTACGAGCCGCAGATGTCGAAGACTTTCCGCTACTAACTCCATTACTACTGCCTTGCTGCTTGCTCTGCTTCCTGACTGCTCTCTTCAGCAACGATCGCGACCAGAGCATCTTAGTACAAGCATCTATGTCATGTCCAACGCTGCCACCCTGCAACGCCGCATGCATCAGCGTCGAGACGATGTTCGACGATGAATGGGAACTGCTCTCTTTACCACCGCTGTTTCCAGCGGTTCCGCAGTCTAGATCCATGCTCGTAACTCCGGAACCACCGCCCGTTGTGCGGATGAAATTATTCGACCGTTGTAGTGAATCCCAGAGAATCGGCTTCTTATCAAATCTGAAAACATTCGGGTCACTGGAACTTGCAGCGTTGCT